ACTCCAAGAGATGAAGCAATGCTGAAGATCATGACAATGGTGATGGAATGTTGATGATCAGATGCTTAAACTTAGAAAAGAAGAAAGAGAAAAACAAAAGGCTTAAGGCAAATGTATAAATTGTAGGAGCCATTTTGTTTTAGTGATCGAGACACTTAGTGAGTGTGATCACATTTAGGATTGATAGCCGTACTATTAAGAGGAGTGAAACTCGTATCGAAATGCGGTTGTCAAAGTGTCACTAGATGCTCTAACTCATTGCATATACATTTAGGATCTAGTGGAGTGTTAACACCCTTAAAAATGTTTGAGAAAATATGCTAACATATGTGCACAAGGTGTTACACTTGGTGGTTAGCACATTTGAGCAAGGGGGAAGAAGACCGAGAAGATGCCAGTGTCGGTCAAGTGACCGGACGCTGGATCTGAATGCACCGGACGCTGACTGCCTGCGTCCGGTCGCGCTGACTTGGCGGTACAGTAGCTAGGGTATACCACCGGACGTTGGGCTGTGTCCGGTCGAGGTGGACTGGACGCGTCCGGTCGAAGAAAAACGGATTTGGACCCTTACTGTACTCAACCGGACGCTGAGGCTCCAGCGTCCGGTCAGTTTAGCCGGAGCGTCCGGTCAACACTTAGCCGTTGAGATCTGACGGTTCAGTTTTAACTCAGAGTGACACGTGGCAAAAATCAGTGGACCGGACGCTGAGTCCAGGGTGCGGTCAGTCTGACCGGAGCGTCCGGTCAGAGCGCGTTTTGCCTAGTGAAGGGGTATAACGGCTCTATTCCGTGGGGGCTTCTATTTAAGCCCCATAGACGATTGAAGCTCCAGCCTTTGGCCATTTTCATTGACATAGCAACCTTGTGAGCTTAGCCAAAGCCCTCCCACTCATCTCCATCATTGATCCATCATCATTGTGAGATTGGGAGAGAATCCAAGTGCATTGCTTGAGTGATTGCATCTAGAGGCACTTGACATTCGTGTTGCGCTGCGGATTTCTCTTGTTTCTCTTGGTGGTTGCCACCACCTAGACGGTTGGAGCAGCGGTGGAGGATTGGCACGAGTTGGTGATTGTTCGTGGCCATTTCCAGTGATTGTAATGGGAGTTGTACCTTCCCCGGCGGAGTGCCGAAAGGTAACTCTAGTAAATTGCTCGTGTCATTGAGTTACCTCACTTGTGGGTCGGTTCTTGTGGTGTCCTATCGTGTGGACGAGGTTTGTGAAATACCTCTTAGCCGCTGAACCACCAAGTATTGGTCGATACAACGGGGACGTAGCGTGTTGGCAAGCACGTGAACCTCAGAAGAAAATCGATTGTCTCTTGTCTTTGGCATTCTCCTGGTGATTGGCTATATATTCATCTTGTGATTGGTTCATCCCCTACACGGCGGTATAATCACCCTACTCACTTATTTACTTTCTTGCAAGCTAGTTGATACAAGCTCTTTAGTGTAATTAGAATTGAGAGCTTGCTTTATTATTTACATTCATCTAGTTGAGCTCTTTAGAGTAGCAAGATTGAGAGCACTTAGTGAGTAGTTACATAGCAAGTTTGTGTGCCTAAGTAATCGTTGCAACTAGAATTGTTGGATAGGTGGCTTGCAACCCTTGTAGAGCTAGAGCAAGTTTGCATTACGCTATTTGTCATACTAATCAAATTGCTCTAGTCGATTTGTAGATTTTTTAATAGACTATTCACCCCCCCCCTCTAGCCATATTAGGACCTTTCAGCAGCATCCAGATGAAACACTTGCAAACATACGTATGAAACACCTAAAAAAACTTGAAACATATGCTTGCAACATGCATGTATATGCAACATCCAGATCTAGTTTTGCAACATCCAGATCTAGTTTTGCAACATCCAGATAAAACAGTTGCAACATACGTCTGGACCCGATGAAACGTACAATTGAAACATACGTGTATGGTCATTACAACATGTGCAACATCCCGACCTACTTTTGCAATATCGATATACAACACTTGCAACATACCAAACACTTGAAACATACTCTTGCAACATGCAATTTTCACCCTTCTTTCGTATGACGCAACACAGAGCGGGAGAACGACCGATTTCGGAAATCTGCATCCTGGCCACCGTCATCGTAGCCGCTGCTGGGCGAGTCACCCCTGCTGGGGGAGTTGCCCCTACCCGATCTCGTATGCATCTCTGCTGGAGACCGTCGCCGAGGGAGTTAGCGGACCGGACGCCATGGAGAAAGAGAGGGGAAGGCCGATTGGTCACCGCTCCTAGCGCGAGCTGCCGCCAGAGAGGGACGAAAGCGAGCGGGGGGCGCGATGCAGAATGTAAACCATACACATCAGTCGATGAGCACGGTGGAGAGGGGAGAAGCCGCTCGGCGGCGTTCAAGTGTGGTGGGGAGGAAGGATGAAGGCAGGTGGGTGGCCGGGCACAGTGAAGAATGTCGCGCCGGATGGGTTGCCGTGGACCATGCTACGGCGGCGAGGAGAACTCGATAAGTGGACAGTATGGTTTGGCCTTATTTCTGGAGTGGATTGGTTAACCGAGCGCAGTGGAATGCTGGGCCGTTCATGTTGGTTCAGGTTGACGTTGCGGCCCACCAACAGAGGCGTCTGGATGATCGGACGCCCAAGCGAAAGCATTTCCGTGACCTGCGGGCAACGCTGCTGGATCCTCAGTAGTTTTCGCTAATACTTGTATTGACATGTATGATAACGCTGCTGGATCCTTTGCAATATGATAAATCTCAATCCTCAGATCATATGCAGCGCCGGCACCTGCACGAAGCTAAATTTAGCATGTGCATCAATCTTGCAGACAAGTGAACAGCCAAGTGATCTGTCAATCACTGCCCCCGCGTTGCTTCGTCATCATCAGGAGCTCAAAACACATTCAAGCTCGCGCCGGTTTCCTCCTGCGGCCGCCCAGATTTCTCGATGCTCCCCGCAGCTGCTCTGTTCCACCACCCTCCACCCATCCAAGAAAAGCAAGGCAAGGAAAAACAGCGAGAAAAAGAAAAGAAAAATTACGGAGGAAAACCGAAAAGGGGCACGAGCACATTACGCCGCGGTCGTCTTGTCGCCAAGGCGAGGCGCATTCCGTGCCTCCACCCACGCTGCCTGCTAGCTCGGGGCCTGCCCTGCCGCCGGAGTGCCGGACTGACGGACGTTTACCCCATGCCTATGTGAGAGGCGGAACCCGGCCGCTGCCCCCTCCGGCCCTCCCCACCTGCAGATCGGTGCGCGCTTGAGATGCCATTATTCCGGCTCAGCGGCTCCTAGACACTCTCCCGGAACGACGACGACACCGCCGAGCGCGCGGCGGCCCTTTGATGCCGCGCGCCCTCATGGCGTCAACCGAGCATCGGGCCTCGTCTCCCCCGGGAGGGCCGCCAGGGCCGAAGGCACGGGCACCCCCGCCGAAGGCTTCGCCGTCGTCTCCCCCGCCATCCCCGCCGAAGGCTTCCTCGTTGTCTCCTCCGCCGCCGACACCGTCGCCGCCTCAGCACTCACCGCCGCCGCCACCATCGAAGCAGTCCCCGCCTCCTCCTGCACCAGCGACTCCGCCGGAGAAGTCGCCGACGGCGTCCCCGCCTCCTCCGGCCTCGCCGCCGCCAGCAAGCAAGTCCCCTCCTCCTCCTCCTTCCCCGTCGACGCCGCCCCCGTCGCCACCTCCGCGTTCCTCGCCGCCGCCGCCCGCGTCATCATCGACGCCACCATCGTCGACGTCGCAGCAATCGCCTCCGGGACCAGAATCGGCCAAGCCACCGCCACCCTCGTCGTCAGAGAAGCCCGCCGCGACGGCCTCACCTCCCCCAAATGCGACGTCAGGCTCCGGATCAAAATCAGAGCCGCCACCGCGCGAGACACCATCGACGCCCCCGGACACCACCGCCGGTCGGCAGCCACCTCCGGCGCCGGGGACACCGTCCTCGCCCACGCAAATGCTGCCTCCTCCGATGGCGGTGACGGTGATCATGCCGGGTGCCTCTGGCCCACCTGCAGGCGGCAGGTGGAGGGGCCCGCCTGGCCCCGCCGCTACCGCCCCGCCACTGAGTCCCCCCGCGGGTGGCGGCTCGGGCAGCAGCAACATGAAGAACGAGGCGATCATCATCGGGATCTCCGTTGCCGGGCTCCTCCTGGCGCTGGTCTCGCTGTTGATAATGGTGTGCAACCGCGGGAAGAGGAAGCGGCACGCGCAACCGTCGCCGTCGCGCAGGCACAACATCGTCGTGCCGGAACGTTAGTGCCCGCCCCGCCTCGGAACGTCGTCCTGTTCATGTTGCTCTTGCTGCCACCATGCAGTATGTAACACTGCGCTTTTGTCTGTCACGTACGTGCAGCCGTGGCTTCTCTCTCGCCGGACGTGTACCAGGCGTCGAACGGCGCCCCCCCCGCGCCGTCGCCGAGCGGGACGAACTCGTACGGCCTGTCGGGGAGCAAGTCGTGGTTCACGTACGACGAGCTGGTGGGCATCACGGGCGGGTTCTCGGCGGGGAACGTGATCGGCGAGGGCGGGTTCGGGAAGGTGTACATTGGCGCGCTGGGCGACGGGCGGCGCGTGGCGGTGAAGCAGCTCAAGGTGGGCAGCGGCCAGGGGGAGAAGGAGTTCCGCGCGGAGGTGGACATCATCAGCCGCATCCACCACCGCCACCTCGTCACGCTCGTCGGCTACTGCGTCACCGAGAACCACCGCCTCCTCGTCTACGAGTTCGTGGCCAACAACACGCTCGAGCATCACCTGCACGGTGAGCAGCACATTATTCATATATTCAGCCTGTTCGTTTCGGCGGATTATAAGCTGCAACAGTATTTTTCTCTCACACCAAACCAGCCAGCAGTATTTCTGGCTTATAATCCACGATCGTTTCAGTCGAAACGAACAGGCTAATTGTAGTCAGCTTCCTCTTGCATTGGCGGACATGCGTATGCATGAATGTGTGAATGTTGGATTATACATGTATATCGATCCGCAGGAAAAGGGCTACCCGTGATGGATTGGTCGAAACGGATGAAGATTGCGATCGGAGCGGCGCGTGGGTTGACGTACCTCCACGAAGACTGTAAGTGAGGACGTACAAGCTCATCGTGCGATGCTCCAGTCCGTCCTGGGTAGCTAGCTTGCTTGTCAGTCCGGCTAATTAAGAGCTGGTCTTGTACGTACATGCAGGCCATCCTAGGATCATACACAGGGACATCAAGTCGGCAAACATTCTCCTGGACGACGCCTTCGAGGCCAAGGTCAATTTGCAGCACAGAATAAAGTGCACCACCCAAACGCTTGATTCTGTACTTACTGGCGATTAATCTGGGGAACAGGTTGCAGATTTCGGCCTTGCTAAACTGACAAACGACTCGCTGACTCATATCTCGACGCGCGTGATGGGCACGTTCGGGTAAGCAGCGTTCAGAGTACAGCCTATCTGACAAAATTCAGCAAATTTTGGAGGGGATACCAGTCACATTGCTCGATCCACAGGTACATGGCGCCCGAGTACGCACAAAGCGGGAAGCTGACCGACAGATCCGACGTGTTCTCCTTCGGGGTGGTGCTCCTGGAGCTCATCACCGGGCGGAAGCCCGTCGACGCATCTCAACCGCTGGGAGAAGAGAGCCTGGTTGAATGGGTACACGAATCATCCTCCTTAATTTGTATCATCGTGCTACTAGCTACAACAGCCTACAGGGTCGATCGCTGACTGTTGATCACGTACGTTGCGTGAACCCCCGATGCAGGCTCGGCTTCTCCTTGTGGACGCCTTGGAGACGGACGACTTCCGAGAGGTCGCCGACCCTGCGCTGGAGTGCAGGTTCTCCAAGACCGAGATGCGGAGGATGGTGGAGGCGGCCGCCGCCTGCGTGCGCCACTCCGCCGCCAAGAGACCCAGGATGGTGCAGGTAATAACGAGCAAAACACGTACCTGCCAATGCAAGAGACCGAGGATGATGGAAGGAACTGACTAGCTCTTCTCGATCGCTGCTGTCTCCTCTATCGGTCGGAAGGTGTGGCGATCGCTGGACGTGGACGAGTGCTCGTCGGACCTGACCAACGGCGTGAAGCTCGGGCAGAGCATGGCGTACGACTCGGGCCGGTACTCGGTGGACATCGAGCTGTTCCGGCGAATGGCGTTCGCCAACGACCTCTCCACCGCCGAGTTGGGCGTCTTGGACGAGGATGACCAACACAGCAGCAAAGCCGGTTCCAGCTCCAGGCGGCACAAGTAATTCAAACGACACGTCACCACACCTACATGCGTGCGTGCGTGAACCACGTGATGTGCTGCGTGTACGTCGGATCGGAGCAGCTCGATCGAATCACAAGGACCAAACCGTGCCCGCGCACGCCAGCCGCCACGGCGGCTGCACGGGGGACGTAGTAGCGGAGGATCGCAGAGGAGATGCTGACTTGAGGCATGCAGGCGCCAGCTTCGTTGAGCTAGCTAGCACGGTGTCTGTGTACGTTGCTATTCCCTGCTGTGTGTCTTTGTGTGTACAGCCGTGCATTCTTGTCCCTTATAAGAAAAGAAAACTGCTTGGCATACGGTACAACACGTCCGTCTGGTTGGGCGCTGTTAGCCTGCACATGAGCAGCACCTGAAGGCGGTGACATGTGAAATGCACGATCAGGTGTTCAGGTGGGAGCCGGCCGGACGTACGTATAATGGCTGTCTGTTAATGCTGGCCGGTCTTTTCACGCAGACCGAATGTTGTAATTTGAAAATTGTAGGATCACTCAAACCGATTTGACGTTAGCTTAGACCAGACTGGCCAGCAGTGAACTTTGACTCATTTTTTATAGCGAACTTCGACTTATTTTCATGCTAAACATCAGTACCCGTCTAGGCAGGAACATGCACTAACATTCGTAATGGCCAAAGACTAGATGGACGACACTACTAATATAAAAAACAAATTTACAAGACAACATCTCCGATTAACAGAGGTGGATACATCTAAAGACCGCCTTTAGAGCATGTTTGGATGCACATGTATTGACCTCAATCCATATGTGTTGAAATGTTTTAGTGTGGAATTTAAACTAAACTCCATATCAACCACTCCAATACGCATAGATTAAGGTGGATACATGGGTATCCAAACAAGGCTTTAAATGGTTAGACAGCCTCTAGGAAAATGTCCGCATTTGAAAATTATATGTAGATGGGGCAATCTAAAGTGACCGCTTCATAAAATCGATTATTAGAGAATGGCACCTTAAGATGTCTGTCATCGTTGATCAATTTCCAGAAACGAGCAGTTCAACAACCTTTGTAAATGATGATTAACGGTGGCCATAAAACACATCAAACTAGAATTGAATTTGTGCAATCTTTCGGAAAAATAGAGTTGAATTTGTGCATGCAGGGATAATTAGAGCCTTCAAGATAATACGAACTATGGAGAACAACTGACAAAACATGACTTCAAATATATATAATTAAGAATGGACACTAGCAGCAAATTATTTTCACCAAGTTGTTGCTAGGATTGCAGTATAAAATCATTTACAAGAATGGCCGGTGTGGATAATAGTGTGGCCAATGCCTTGTCTAGGTAACCCCATTCTTATGTTCAATGTAATGCAATGTCCACTTGTGCTCCTGAGTGGCTTAATCGAGTGGCAGAAGGCTATTTACAGGATCCTCATGCTCATGACATAATTGATAAGTTGATTGATGCTACAATAGTTTCTCCTTTCACATTTCAAAGTGGTCTATTGTGCTATATTCTTTCAGCGGCAAATCCTTCTAGCTTTGCACGCTTTCTCCAGTGGTGAGTCACTCAGGTATTCCTGTTACTTATCGAGGTCTGAAATAACTTTTTGCTTGGAAAGCTATGAAGATAATATATAGTGCATGCTTTCATCTCTAGTTGTGCTATCTATCAGCATACTAAGACCGACGGCTCTTGATATCCTAGCTTGTTGCAACCGACCGCATGCAGGGTGAGGCTACCATGTGGGCCCAGGTCACATGCAGGGTGAGGCTGCCATGTGGGCCTAGGCTCGTTCGGGCAACGGGCGCACGGTGATCCTTATCGCATTGCATCACACCTCGGGCGTGACCCTGTGCTAGAAGTGGCTGACACGGCCTTGTGGAAGCGAGAGAATGGAACCAAGGAAGAGCCTGGCGCCCTGCAACTCTGCCCGCGTGTCAAGCTTTGGATGCATGACAAATGCTAGAGGTATAATCTCGGAGTCGGTCTAGATGGGAAGCCTAGCCTAGCCAAGGCCAAGGCGCACGTTGTGGCCCTTGGTCGGCCACCACCTCCCAAGGTCAGGAGCCACTCTAGTCTGGCTGAGCCCCCAGGCAAGGGTCGCTCAAGCGAGGGCTTGACGTCATGGCTCATTCCCAAGCGCTAAGGTCTTTGTCCCGTGGTGGGCCTTTTGAGGCCCATCAAGACATTCACTAATGGATCGGAGTATACGCGCAAATGCACATGAAGGGTGTAGCCGCTGAGCTCCTGACTGATTAGGAGAATCAGTCAGAGGGTTAATCGGACAGTCATGACACTAATCCACGGATTTAATATATCCCTATATTTGATACTCATCAGTTATCCTTGCTTGAGTATTGGTGTAATACTAGTTTCCATTCTAAATTGGACACCACATCTTCTGAGGCATTGTATGGCTACAACTATTTCAGGTTGGAAGCGACCAGTGCAGTCACGGTTGCTGATGTGTCCAAGTGGCTCCAACAAAAGGATCTCATTACTCAGCTCATTCAACAACATTTGGCATAGGGCTAGCATACGTATGAAAACTCAAGTTGACAAATATCGCTTGGAACGTTAGTTCATTATTTGTGAGTTGTGACTCTATTTACTTGAAGTTGTAGCCCTACGTTCAAGCATCATTTCGTGCCCATCAAAAGCTTGCCTTCAAGTTCTTGGGTCCTTATACTATCATCGATATAAAAAAAGATTGATGTTGTCACTTATAAGTTGTAGCTGCCTTCTACAACTTCCACACATCTTGTTTTACATGTGTCTCAGCACAAAAAGGCCATCCTCGATACTCACCTGGTGACTTCATACATTCCCTCTAAAGTTATTGCTTTTGAGATCCCGAAGCGTCTATTGCAGACTTGCCTTTCAAGCGGCTCTACACCCATCACCAAGGTGCTGGTCTAGTGGTCTGGCATCGCTCGCCACCTGGGAGAAGTTAGATCAACTAAAACAATTGTTTCCCTGGGCGCCTACTCTATAACATGCAAGTTGTTTAAGGGGGGCGTCAATACCGTTCCTCCAGCTGCTACTGCAGGTCTGCAGCTATCGGCATAGGTGACGAATGGGCCAAGATGGGGGCGCGTGCAAAATGGCCTAATAGAGGTGTTAGGTGTTTAGTTTGTGGGATAAAGTCTATCATCATCCTACTTATTTTTTATGTTTGATTTATGGAATGAAATGAGTTGATGTATCACTATCTTATTTCTCATAAGCTAATCATTAGTAGAGCAGTAGTACGAGAAATGAAGTCATTCAACAAAATTTAAGGAATTGTGTCATGATGCATCCCCTCATCTAAATGCTCTGCTTGTCGTGGGCCGCGATAGCCTGAACGGCCCACTGCGTCTTACCCTCAAAATTCCACTCCATAAGTTTGTAAAAACAATATCCACTCCTGAACGTTCGGAGCCTGGCTTCACTCGACTCACACGACCTCCACTCGCCACCGAGTCCACTCCGAACTCTCCCCCGCAGGTCGCAGCCATGGCAGAGGACGCCCCCAACGTAGCCGTCGAGGACAGCCAACCCATGACCCCCGAGGGATCTGCTGATGCCGCCCCAGCGGCTGTCGCGAGCACCAAGGCGGCGGAGGTGCTGCTCCCGCTGCTCAGCATCTGGCTGCCGTTGTAGCGCATGCGCAACGCTGTGGTGCGTCGCCCTGTGCAGACACTCACGGCATCCAACGTCCTCTCCCAGCACTACGGCGTTGTCCCAACGCCCGATGCCGAGCGCGCCGCCGCAGCCATCGAGTGTCGGGGACCAATACTAGGGTACCCGAAGAGGAGGAGCTAATGACCATCAACATTGATTCATCTGAGCAGTCAAGAGCGCGACTACACCTCCAACCGACCCCAAGCGTGCAAGCTCCTCCTCGCCTGACCTCTGGGGGGCGGACTCTGCCTCGCTCGACCTCTGGGAGAGGGCTCCGCCTCGCCCAACCCCGAGGCCACGGGCTCCGCCTCACTCGACCCTTGGGTTTGTGCTCCGCCTCGCCCGGCCTCTAGGGGAGGGCTCCGCCTCGCCCGACCCCAGGGCCGTGGGCTCCGCCTCGTCCGACCCTAAGGTCGTGGACTCCGTCACACCCGACCCTGAGGCCATAGGCTCCACCTCCCCTGACCCCAAGGCCACGGGCTCCGCCTCGCCCGACCCTTGAGTTTGTGCTCTGCCTCGCCCGGCCCCAAGGCCGCGGGCTCCACCTCGCCCGACCCTTGGGTTTGCGCTCTGCCTCGCTAGCCTCTAGGGGAGGGCTCCGCCTCTGAAAGGTCCTAATGGCTAGAGGGGGGTGAATAGCCTATTAAAATTTTCTACAACAACACTTAACAAACCGATTAGACAATTATGATGCGAAGCAAGTGTTACGCTAGCCTACTAAAATTGCAAGCCACCTACCACAATTCTAGTTTATATAGTTTCTATTCACACAATAGCTATGTCACTACACTAAGTTAGTGTGCTCTCAAAGGCTAACTAAAGAGCCACACTAACCAAACTAACAAGCTCTCACAACTAACTACACTAAAGAGCTTGACAACTAGTTTGCGGTAATGTAAAGAGAGTGAGCAAGTTGTTTATACCGACGTGTCGAGGAGTGGACCAATCAATCACAAGAATGAATACCAATAAAGACCAATCACCTCGGAATCAAATGATAAACACAATGATTTTTTTACCGAGGTTCACTTGCTTGCCGGCAAGCTACTCCTCGTTGTGGCGATTCACTCACTTGGAGGTTCACACGCCAAACCCTCAATAGGGTGCCGCACAACCAACACAAGATGAGGATCACACAAGCCACGGGCAATTCACTAGAGTACCTTTTGGCTCTCCGCCGGGGAAAGGTCAAGAACCCCTCACAATCACCACAATCGGAGCCGGAGACAATCACCACCCTCCGCTCGACGATCCTCGCTGCTCCAAGCCGTCTAGGTGGCGGCAACCACCAAGAGTAACAAGCGAATCCCGCAGTGAAATACGACACCAAGTGCCTCTAGATG